TCTATTTTTCCACTTACCTTCATATATAAAAACGAAAGTGATGTACCATATTAGAAAATGCTACCACTCAATCCTTATTTCTGGATAGTTTACAATAGATAAAAAAGAAAAGTATTTAGCTCGAAAGCATCACTTAACTCTGCTACATTACGGTATATCCAAAAGCGTATGTGTACAACGTAAGATATAAACTTAAACCTGACGTCAGAACGCCTGCAAAAGCATAGCTGCGCATGGAATGTATTCTAAAACGTCTCAAACTCTGTACCATCCATTTTGTGTGAATTGCAGAAAAATGGAAAAGATGGAAAATTCAATCCCATTCGAATTTGCAATCAGTTCTGTAAATCTGCAATTGATATGGATGCGGATCAAAGGACTATGATGAATTGGTGTCAATGGTAGGCTGCAAGATTGTACAAAATACCGACAAAATCCGAAGCTTAAAGACCAGGAAGATGAGCTACAGATGAGTGTGGTGTTGAAGCCGGGGTTGGGCTCATGCTGTTGCAGCAAATTTCACATTCATCAATCAATTGCAATAGTTCCTGAGGGGAAGGACCATTCAGTCCCTAAAATCAATAAAAATAGTGGCGATAAGGTGACATTTAACGTAAGAGAACAATATACTAATCGAGACACCTGTAGTATAGTTTGCGGTAGCTTCACTGTTGACGACGCTTTCAGCGTATCCATACTACTTGTTGATGGTGCGTTTGCGAGCGGATTCTGACGAGCTGCCATGTGCTGGTCTAAGGCCGTCGTCAAGTCCCACATCTGAACAAGGTTCCAATTCGTACTTCACCTTAGAAAAATTATAGGGCACTTGGAAACCATTATTTTGCGACAGGAACGTCAGAACAGTATTTTTGGGAATGCGAGCGAAATTCTAAATAATGTCAAAAAATTCAGAAAAGTTTGGCTTTTGTTTCTTATGTTGGAAAATCAGTATATAGATTGAGGAAAACGCACTGAGGATGTACAAAATATCACAAGGTAATCGCTGGATGTCTAGATCCCAAGTCACGTTATCAATTCGACAGCAAATATGGCATAGTAACGTTTTAGTTAACGAAGATGTACGCCAAAGTCAATCTCCAAGGTTCGAAAAGAAATGGCTCCTTACTCGTTCATGCCACATATGCTGCATATGTTGAGATGCCAGGCGAGGTCACACCACCTTTCAAAACTATTTCTTCCTA